GAAGGATGTCCACGGCACTTTCCTCTGAGAAGATGGTGCATTTGTTTCCACCAGGAGCCTAGCAGCACCAACACAGGGCCACTTAAACTAAATTTTTGGCTTGGTTTTTTGAGGAGTGTCACAATAATAGTACAAATTCAGGCTCAAACCTGCGTGAGTTAAGACATGTAATGATGAGTTCTCTGGGAGAATTTTTTCTTTATTTCCATCCTACTCAAAGCCAATACCGAGACAGGTACTTATCAGTACTCTCCCTATGTGATATGACAACCTACTTTTTCCCCTCTGTTTAGCAAATGAAAATGTCATTCTTTAGAAGTTCCAGCTTTATTTGGGTATGGGAAGGGGGCATGGGCCTCAGTTGTGACTTCCTACCTTGTTCTGGACCCCACAGCTTTCCTGTCACCAGACTCTAGGGCAGAGGATCAGGAAATAGCACCACTTCCAATGCTAGCTTATAATGGATTCATGTTATCTTTACATCTCTGGCCTCTAAGAAGTCCTTACTCTGTCTTGGGTTCACCCATTACATAACAGAGTTTTGATTTGTTTGTTAATCCAGCATTTTTTGGTGTACAGAATTGCAAAGAGTTTCTCCATATGGCTAGCCCACCATATTGCCAAAAACATTGTCCTTGGACAATGGTAGGAAAAAAACACTTTATGGTATAGTAGAGAATGCAGAGTTTTCCATGATAATTTTTTAAAAAGACCTTTGTTAAATTTCCAGTTCTTTAACTCTAAAATAGGACTGATAATCACAGAATCAACCCTAATGGGTAGTAAGAAGAGGGTTTCCTCCCAATTCACATTTGTCCAGTTTAGCCACTCCCTGCTGCCCAGAGTTACTATTTTTACAGACCACCCAGAGGGGGCCAGCACTTTGAATCTTGTGCCAGAAAAAGCTAGATGCCGTCTTTACCATCCACACAACATCAATAAGGTCAGAAAAATTAACCCTTTTAAGTCTGTTTGGTTTATTTTCTTTTTCTGTGTTATGACTACTCAGTAACCTAAAACTCTCCAAACTAGTCAGTATTGCTGCACAAAACTCTCTTACTTTAGAAGTACGATGTATTTACATTTCATCACCACAAGGGGCTTCAGGAAATGTTTCTTAAGGCATACCCATAGGCAGCAAACTTGTGTGTTATATATTTTTTCACTTGGACCCATACCAATACGGCACAGAAGTTCAATTCTACGTGGAACATCTGAAACAACACTGACAACTTTATTTGGTAATGGGATCTGTTCTGAGAGAGTTTCGTTTCCTAAATTTAAAATGCTTTGGAAATCTCTCCTTTAAATGTCTGTTTGTCTGGCCAGACTTAGTTTTGTGGTACTTAAGAAAGGTTCAGTTAGAACACACAATCTTGCTTTTTCCCATACCAATTAAAACCCAATAATGCTTAAGGTTTATAGATTGACAGACACAGACATGGGTGTGGGAGTTAGTCAATAAATACATTCCAGGTGGTATTAATAAGGTTCAGCGGGGAAGTTTCTGCTCCTCTGGCAGATTCCCAGCCTTGAGATCTTCAGTCTTGCAGTGAAAAGGCTGCAGAGGACAGGCTCAGTCAAGAATGTTCCTGAAGAGCATATGCGATGGCACGTGTCCACTGCCAACGCTGGTTCAGGGGCAGGTTTAGCCTTTCAGACCACTGCTGCCCTCCCAGCTTTGATATTTCACCATCCGTGCCAAACTGTGTCTAGAAGAAATAGTTCCTGGTTTTTATGAGCCAGTTTCTTTCTATTTCCTTCTTGGTGTCTGGAGGTATTCCAACCTGTTGAGATACTTTAATATTTCTCCACCCCTTCCAGCTCTGTTACTTTGCTTCAATCTAAGCCTTTTAACATGTTTGAATTTTAAAATCTGCACATTCCTAATCTTCCCACTGCTTGCTTTCTGTTCCTCAAGCCTTCACAGAGAGACACAGATCTCCTCTGCCTGTTCCTCAGGACTTTCAAATATTTAGGCTTTCTTCCACTCTTCATTCTGCTGTTTGTACTGTCCATCTAATTTTTTGGACACAAAATTTTTGTGATAAAATAGGACCACAGTTGGGCGCCTGGGTGGCTCAGTTGGTTAAGTGACTGCCTTCAGCTCAGGTCATGATCCCGGAGCCCCGGGACTGAGTCCTGCATCAGGCTCCCAGCTCCGTGGGGAGTCTGCCTCTCCCTCTAACCTTCTCCCCTTTCATGCTCCCTCTCATTCTCTCTCTAATAAATAAATAAAATCTTAAAAAAAAAAAAAGAGGACCATAGTCTCCTCCTTCCAAAATGAATCAACTTATCTGCTCACAGAAATGAGATCCATCCCCACACACCCCCTCTACCCTCAGTAGCTATAAACATCATTAATCCATTTTAAAATTTTTGTCTTTTTTTCCCCACGAATTTCTATTTACTCATGAGGGCTCCCACAACAAGGTATATCCCCAGCCCCATCCTCACTTCCTATATCGCAACCCCAACTGCTTTACTGTCCACCAAATGCTACTGCATAAAGCCTCTGAGACTGCCATTATCAGAGTTAAATGGAAAAATAATTTTAATATGAAGGATATGGGTAAAATATCAACAGGCAGCAAAAAAAATTTCTTTTAATAATTTAAATGCTTGTTCCAGGTATCTCTTCTACATATTCTGTGTAACATGTCTAACACAGTATGAACTCAAAAATAGGTCAACTCAGAAGTATGACCTCTTTCCACTGAATCATTTTAGTAAGAAGTAGATGGGTATCTGGGGCTCCATGATGGGGTATCAACTACTCTAGCAAGTTGTGTTAATACCAAATGATAGTGAAAGTTGAATACAAGATCTACATCTTATTTTTTAGAAATTATGTAAAAATAAAATGGGAATGACCTAGCTTGACCATCAAACATGTAAAAAAGATATGGGGATTTTACTTAATAATACATGTCTTCGAAACAGTTACCACAATCTTAGGCTGCGTGAAAAAAATGAGCTCTTAGGAAGTAAGGGTTTCACTACAGTCTACGCAGGTCAGAAGACAGTGCCTAAGGAAATGCGTTGCCTCTGGACATCACCTTCCAAAATGAACACCGATTAAACAGTGTTAAGCACAAAGCCTGGAACACAGAAAAGCTCCAAGATAACCATCAAGCTGCTAGTTGCCAAAGTCAATGTTCTCACCTCAGGTTTCTGCCCTGACAAGCCTGTTTTTGAAATTCTTTCATTCTTGGCTTCAGAAAACCATTCGTCTGGTTCTGTCCCTAACACCACTCACTCTGGGCTTCTTTTCCTGAGTCTGTCATGCTGGTTTCCCCAGATTCTTCCTCTACTTGTTCTCCTTGGATAATCTCACCTACTCCACTAAAATCTGTCTGTCTGTCTGTCACGGTAATTCCCAACATCTAGTGAGGAACGCAAACTTCCCATACTAACAAAAACCATTATCCTCCCTCATAAAATGATTCGTCTTCCTATTTCCTGCCTTAAATAAGAGTAACGCCATTCAGTCCCTCAAGATAGAAATTTGGAATTATCTTTAGGTTCTCGCTTTTCTTCCTCATGTCCCACTCTGTTATCAGTCACCAAACCCCAGAGTCTACATCAGAGGTGCACCCTGAGACAGCCTGTCCTTTCCGTCACCACAGTCCAACGCCAGACTCGTATATATCCCCTTAAACACACCAACAGCCTCCCGGTGCTGTCACTGCCAAGACCATCTGCTCGGTCCAGTCCATTCTCGCTACCACCCTTAGTCACCTTCCTAACATCAAAACTGATCATGCCGCCCTCTGCCTAAAAGCCACGGGTGCCTCATTGTGCACAGCAGCACACTAGGCTCGTCAGTATCTGGCCCCCACTGTATACCTGTATACAGGTATACCTGTAGACCCATTTCCGTCATACACATTCCCACTTGTACAAGATATATGTGAATTTTTCACTTTTTCCTGAAGATGTCAAGCCATTTCCTAATTGTGCCTTTTAACTACTGCGGTCCCTCTGCTTGGCATCTCTTGCCATACTCTGCAGCTGGCAAACTGCTATCCCACTTCCAAGATTCAGCGTCTCCTTCAGGGACTTCCCTTTCCACTCTCTTTCAACAAAATCAGTTCTGAACATCTATCAATATGACGCAAACCTTCTCAAAGAATTCTTACTCTCATTTACACTCTTTTAGTAATTTGTTCACACTGCTATTCCCACAGTCACCACATTATACTTGAGTCATCCTTTGACTTGTCCGTCTTCTCAGCTGGACCATGAGATCCTTGAAGGTACGGCCCAGGTCTAATTACTCATGGACTCCCCATCACCTAGGATATACTGATTTCATTCACTGATCAAAAGTGCCACAGTGAGTGGGAGTCTGGAAAAGAGGGTCTCCAGGGTTCTTTGAATCCTAGTGTTCTATGACTCTGACCTAAAAGCAGTGTTTCTCAAGCTATGATTAGCTAGAAACCTGTACCACAATCAACTAGAACACTATAAAATATTTGCATTCTTGACTCCCATTCCAAACCTACTCAATCAGACACTGCTAATTACGGATCTAGCTGTTTACTTTCCAGCTAGGGAGGAAGCCACACAAGTGTCTTATAATCCCTGAGGCCACTCAAGCATCACAGTACGGGGGGGAGGCAGGTAACAGTATTGTAATAAAGGCTTCATCATTTTAAAGGTAAGGAACTGAAGCACAGAGGTTAAGTAACTTGCCTAAGACAACAAAGTTACCAAGTGTAGGGACAAGCATTTGAATTCGGGCAGTCTGATTTCAAGGCCCACCACTGATCTGTTCGGTAACAGAAGCCTTTCTTCATTAAACATCATGAATTTTCTGCCAGACCTGGTGAAGAACAAGAAGAGGAACCAATTTTTTTTTTTCCCCTCTTCTACCTAAATATTGCCCCTGAGGAGAACAAAACAAAACTGTTTTTCTCTGGCTTATGACTAGAGCTGAAAGAATGAGAATTGAAATTCTTAGCATTGGTACCCAACACAAACGGCTATCCGCTTACCTCATGGGTCCATAGTTGAACACTATAAATGCCAATACTACCATCACACAGATCGCTCTTCGCTTCGGATTAGGAACTTTAAGCCTCTGGTTCTGAAAGAAATAACCATGTTAAATACAGCTAAACTACATATCGATCTCACAAAAATCAACATCTAAGATAAGCACACTCCTCTTCACCAATTTTATTATAGTTTAAAAAAAAACAAAACCCTCAAAGGTGAGGAAACAGTACTTTTCACAAGGCTAGAGCAGAGCCTTCTAGGTTCCCTGGGACAGCAGCAAGGGAAAAGGAGAGAGGGGCACCAGAGGGGAGAAACATAAGGGCCACTCCCTTGCAGTCTCCTCTGCACCCAAAAGGAAAGAATTCAACAATTTAACATTTTTATGGGTCTTCAAAGAATTTTAAAAGACATCTGCAGTTTATTTCCCTGTCTGTTAAATCCCTTAACATGTGCTCAGTCAGGGCAAGACAGAACAGTGGGAAAAGCCCCACAGAGTAGGCACAGACATCCCTTTGGAGTGGGAAATCCTGAGATGGGAGGTTTCATGGACAGAATTAAGGAGAAGATTGACTTTATTGGGACTAGCACGGCAACAAAATGCAAAAACCATAATAGTGGTCAGGTAGAGAAAAGACCTTAAAATTTTTTATTTTGTGTTTTCTTTCTTTTTGTTTGTTTGTTTTGGAGAGAGTAAGAAAGAGAGAGCATGAGGGGAGGGACAGAGGGAGAAATTCTCAAGCAGGCTTCCGGCTGAGCGTGGAGCCTGACTCAGGCTCCATCCCGGGACCGAAAACATAACCTGAGCCAAAATCAAGAGTCAGATGCTCAACCAACTGAGCCACCAGGGCGCTTCTGTATTTTCTTCTTTAAAAGGAAAGACCTAGGGGTGCCTGGGTGGCTCAGTGGGTTAAGCCTCTGCCTTCGGCTCAGGTTATGATCTCAGCATCCTGGGATGGAGCCCCGCATCAGGAATCTCTGCTCAGCAAGGACCCTGCTTCCCCTCCCCCTCTGCCTGCCTTTCTGCCTACTTGTGATCTCTCTCTCTCTCTGTTAAATAAATAAAATAAAATCTTTATAAAAGGAAAGACCTGTCGAGACTATTTAGGGTCCTCAAGGGGACTCATTTAGTCAGAAAAGAGAGCGAGCAAGCTACCCAGGAAACACACAGCTTCGGAACACACTGGCAGGTACAGCCCACAGCTCCTCTTTCTAATGCCATACTCTGACTGCAAATGCTTTGGGGTTTATCGCGCCCTAGTATTCTTTTTTTACACAAATTCCATTTGGCTTCCCCAGAAAAGAGAGACTACTCGAACCCACCTCATCGGGCAGCCTCACTAGCACTCACCTCTGACACGACTTCATCCAGCTGTCGCTTCAGGGATCCGTTCTCTTTCTTTAGCTTCTCGTTCTCTGAAAGCGCAGCCTTTAACCTGGCCTCTAAGCCCAGCATGTATTCCTTCTTCTTCTTGCGGGACTGACAAGCAGACTCTCGATTTTTTATCATACGTTGCTGTCTCCTTAGCACGGCAATCTAGCAAAAGTTATAACAAGTCAGAAATATTCTGCTTTTAGAATCAGACCGGAACATACTGATTTTTTCCCATCATTTTTTAAACAAAACTGTTCAAACACAAGTTACTGGCTGTTTTAAAAAAAAGGTTTTAAAAGATATTAACTCAAATTAAGCAAACTGAAATCAAATGATTAAACGTGGGCCTCTAAAACCTAAATGTTGAAGGATATCTTCTGGTGTTTTCTAAGGCCTATTTATTAATATACCAATTTTCCCTTTCAGGAAAAAGAGAAAAAACTCTCTCAGAGAGTGCCCTTACATATCCATATATGCACGTATTCATACACTTCACTCTACGTCTCGGGCCCTGAAGTCTTTTCCAGAACACACATCCAGGACTTGTAAGGCCACTTGTACTTGCAAAGTCACCACCACTTCGAATTCAGTATGTATAAACCGCATCATCTCCCTCTGCCTAGATTTGTTTACCGATCCATCTTCCATCAGTGGTAAATAACTCTCAAGATATCTAGGAAGAAGTGACCATTAACTTATTTTTTCCTTCATTCGCCATATTTATTCCCTCTCTCAACCTCTGATTCGTTAAACATGCACTGAGGATATGCTAATGACACATGCTAATGGTAATGACCAACTTTCTTCCGGTGACAGAGTGTCTCAGTTATCTCATCTAATCCTGCCGTCACCCTCCCAAGGAAGGCACTTACTAACTCATCCCCAGATCATGGCAATCATCTCCTAAATATGTTCAGTGATCTCCAATCTCCTCCTATCTACCATTTGTAAGATAACTCATCAGGGAGAAACTGTTTATCTTGCCACTCTATTGCAAAAACGAGCTAGTCATGCATCCTCACGGACCACCTTTGCTTTCAAAGCCTTCCCATAACGTGACCACCCCTCTCAACAACCGTATCTCCAGCCCTAACCTGACAACTAGTCAATCCACAGCCAGGTTCTTATCACGTAAGGCTATTCCAAGATCTGCACACGTGCCTAAGTCATTCCTTTAGTCATAGTGTTTACTCCAATTTAGGATGGTGTCTCCTCCACTAACTTAATTCTAAGGACCTTCTGCACTCTGATTATGCTAAACCATCTTCCCCAAATGTCTTGTGCTCTTGTAATTTGGAAAATACACGTGAACACTTAATGGTCTCAACTGTTTCGTGACTGTTAACTCTCTCTCTCAACCACCTTGGAAGTCAAAACCACGTAATACTACATTTTTGTTTCCTACCCTCAGTATCTACCATGATCAAAACTTAACTGAGTAAAATTATGTTTGTCATGTTTTCTAAACAAGCTATGGAACCTATTTGTTATAGCATTAATCTAATTTATTTGAGGCAGAGGGTGAGGTAGCAAAGTTAAGTCCATAAACTTAAGGACCAAATAACATTAAGTTAATTATTTTAAGTACGCAGATGACTGAAATTACCGACTTTATATGTTTTTTAAAAATTCCAGGGGCACCTGGGTTGCTCAGTGGGTTAAGCCTCTGCCTTCGACTCAGGTCATGATCTCAGGGTCCTGGGATGGAGCCCCCCATCAGGCTCTCTGCTCAGCAGGGAGCCTGCTTCCCTCTCTCTCTCTCTCTGCCCGCCTCTCTGCCTACTTGTGATCTCTCTCTCTGTCAAATAAATAAAATCCTTAAAAAAAAATAAAAATAAACATTCCACTCTGTGGTATTCAGTAATTCTTACTGAGACTAGTAAACAGAATTAAATCATTTAATATCGATTTCTTTTAAAACAACACAATTCCAAACCCATGCTACATTCCCTCAAAAGAACCAAAGCCAATATCTCTGCAGTAAACACTGTCAACAAACTTTCAATCAGAACCTGCAGGGAAAAAAAGCCACATGGGATGTCAAAAGAGGGTATTTTTCTCTTTTCTTCCTTTAATTGAAACTTCCTAAGAATGCTAACTTACAGAACCGTCACCTGTAAAATTTCCCTATAGAATAACTACCCCACACCCTGCCACCCCGCCACCCCCCCCATAATGCCACGCACATGTGCGCACGCACACAGCAGCGGCCAAGCCATGATGAATGGATTATTCACCACGTCAAACTACTCTCTGGACAATGCTACTTTGTTCAATCTACTGTTGTTCTTAGTGTTCTTCATGGTGACTGGGAATGTCAATGTCCGTAATTAATACTTAATACCAGAGTGCTGAGGTACATGAACACTGAGCAAGCGCGGGAAAGAGAAGGTTCCCAGATGGAAGAGTTTATACTGCAGTTAGATAAAAGGCAACCTTGCTTTAAAGGCTAATTAATCTATGGAATTTAGGGAGGCTTACAGACGGAACACCATTTAATAAATTTCAAACAAGGATTAGGAACTTCTATAAACAATAAAAGCACCTGCATATTATAAAGCATTAAGGTCTCAAAGGCTGTCAATGCACATGCCTCATGCAGAAAAAATGAAAACCACCTGTGGCCATCCATTTCTTCCCATGGAAAAAGATACAATAGCTCTGAAAATAAATACTCAATACTACCAATAGACACAAAGGATAGAGAATAAAAATAAATGAAACCCACAGGCATCACTGAACACAAGAATTTCAACTTTACATCTCAGCAAGCTCTCTTTAGCTATCTGGATAAGTTATTCTGTATTTCCTAGACAAAAAGAAATTGTAATTTTCAGACTAAAACACACACATGCACACAGACACATACACACACCCCTGTGGTGTTTGTTTTTTTGGTGGGGGGGTATATTTTACAAGAAAAAAAATTAGACCGTAATTACTGTTTTGTAAACTGACTTTTGCACCCACTGTGTTATAATTATCCTTGACATGCAATGAGAACAGCAGCATAATATTTCAATTATTTTGATGTTCTATATTGAATCTCCTCTTACTGAAATTATTACAGTCTTCAAGATTCTTTGAGATAAGCCTCATCATTTGATGAGTGCCACAGCCAGAACTCAGGTCGGCTGACTAAGCCCAGCACACAACAGCACCACACTGTTTTTATTTTTATTTATTTTTAAGATTTTTATTTATTTATTTGAAAGACAGATCACAAGCAGGCAGAGAGACAGGCTGAGAGAAAGGAGGAAGCAGACTCCCTGCCGAGCAGAGAGCCCAATGCAGGGCTCCATCCCAGGACCCTGGGACCATGACCTGAGCTGAAGGCAGAGGCTTCAACCCACTGAGCCACCCAGGAGCCCCAACACCACACTGTTTTTAATATCAAATGGAAGTCCTGGATCCCAGCATGGAACTCCAACCTCCGTGAACTCTGTGCTTACTTTCATTATGCACCTGTTCGAAAAGAAAGGCTTATGGAAACGCTTGTATCTGAAGCTTAATCTCCTTTAGCAGTCTGAAAACATAAAATCAATACTATGGCTCATTAATCAATTGACATTTCTCTTCTTATAGGCATATCAGATGATTTAACATGACTAAAATGAGTGAACAGCTGGTCAGTCCCTGCTTCTGATCATCCTGCCTTCAGACGACTCCCCCTTCAAGCACTGTGCCTTGGAAAAAGAAAAACGAAAAACTTCACCGCTGTAAAATATTCTCTCCCTTTAGTGCCCCTATACTGTAATATGGTGTTGCATTATTCAGCAAACACTTGACTGTAAAAAAGACTTGTGTAAAAAGAGAACTTCCACAAATGAATGAGTACTTTTTGAAGCCTCACCCAACTTGAGTCAAAATTCCAAGTCTTTTAAAAGTTATCAATCAATAAACACTGTATTATGTTCTTCTTATAAGTAAAACAGACTGTTTGGACCTTTGATTCTGTGATGTTGCTAAGAAATGAGCTTCAAAGTCCTGTATGACAATAAATCAAAGATATTAAAATGGGATATTTTAATGCTAAGAAAGACATTCCAACATCTCATATGAACTCAGCGAGATCAGGTACTGGGAACTATGAAGAATCACTGGTTTACGACATATCATTCTCTCAATTGTGATTCTTATTTCACTGAATCTCTAAACTAATATACAAACTGTTACTGATTAATGACAATATCTTCATATCGGACAAACCAATTTTTCCATTACATACAAAAGCTTTGTCTACTTGAAACTGATTTAAAAGCCAAAGAAGTAAATTATCTTATATATTTCTAATTTATATAACATATTATTGCATATCATAGTAAATATATTTATAAATACTTTCTAAAAATATGTGTACAGCTAAACTCATTAGCAAATTTAATGTGTGGGACTCTCATTTTAAATATTCAAATAAATTAAGTTATTTTAGTTTGATTTCTCTAATGATTCTTAAGAATACTCCCTTTTTAGGGGCACTGGGCTGGCTAAGTCAGTAAAGCAAGCAACTTTTGATCACAGAGTTTCAAAAGAGCCCCATTTTGAGCCCCATATTGGATATAGAGATTACTTAAAACAAAACAAATGAATCATTAAAAAAACTCCTTTTTTCTCAGAAAATTGTTTAGAACAGAAAAGGGGAAAATCTCCTCTTATACTACCCATACTCTTCTCAAGCCTCATGACAGAAAGCCAACATTTTAAGAAATTGTGTTGTGGGGGGGTGCCCGGGTGGCTCAGTTGGTTAAGCGGCTGCCTTCAGCTCGGGTCATGATTCCAGGGTCCTGGGATCGAGCCCCGCATCAGGCTCCCTGCTCAGCAGAGAGCCTGCTTCTCTCTCTCCCCCTCTCCCTGACGCTCTGCTTACTTGTGCTCTCTAACTCTCTGTCAAATAAACAAATAAAATATTTAAAAAAAAAAAAAAAAGAAAGAAAGAAATTGTGTTGGGTGCGTGTCTGTTAGACCCAGTTCCTAGTCAGCAAAAATTAAATAAAGCAGCTTCATTACTGGCAACCTGAGCCATTTAACTGGCAGAGTCAAAGAAATAATCTTCACCCTGCAAATTATCTTTTTTTTTTTTTTTTAATGAAGAACGCCTTTGGGCATGCAGTGTGATTTCCTGAGTGAGAAAGGGTGAGAGACAAAATCCCTGCTGGACGGTA